CGATGTTATACTCTATCGTTACAGCCGATCGATTGTTTCTAACAATTATACACTGATTACAATACTTTCACTAATAAGTAAGTACCTATGAACGTTAATCTGAATCAATTATGTATTTATACTTATACGCACATTATGGATGTGTTTTATTGAAGAATCCGTTAGGCGTAAATGTTCGACTCTTAACAAAAAGGAACGGGTCTTATTTCATAAATTCTCTGTAAAGATTAGTTACTCAACTGGTTTTCAAACAGGGCTGTTGAGACTCACATAAAAGCGATCGTACAGGAACGTTGTGGTCTTTATACCGCTTTCGGAAATGAGTTCATTGTATACGATGGTGTCTTCATTCAAAGCAAATCGGTATCAATGGGGATTACGTTCATTTGTGCAGAAAACGTTTGTATTTTCATGCTAAACGGACATGAAACAATATAAAAGAACAACAATATGAAAAATATCCTTTTATCCGGCTTTTGAAATGATTGTCTAGACGTACATCGAAACCGGAGGGCTGCCTGTTAAGGGATTTACTTTTCCGATCAAAGGGTAGCACTCGGACATGAGAGAGCATTATAAAATAAAAGACATTCTCTCCATTCTTCTCCGTACGTCCACAAATTCGGCAATGGTTGTGATAAAGAATTTATATACAGTAAAATCCTTTAAACGTGTTTGTGTGTTCGTATACATTTATCTAAAAACAGGTACCTCAAGCAAAGTTGGCCTCTTAACATAATAGTTACGAGAAAGTGTCTTGTGCAAAAATTGCCAAGGGTCAAACGTCAGTAGGCAATGTTGTACTTATTTAAAAAGAAACTCGGTCATTACATTACGCACATAGACAATCGATATAGGCAAATAGTTGGAGAGCGCATAGCGGTGTGTATGCGTCGGAGAGCAAAACACATCCGAGCATGCAATTGAGGTCAGATTATATTGTTAGATGCAACTACTGCCCCGGCGCATCCTATTGATTTAATGGCTGGGAAGCGGGTCCTATCGACTGCTACACGAATTTATCAATGTGTGCGAAATAAGTACTTCTACCGGTGTAGAGGATTGAAATTGTACGCAAACAGAATCGTGGAACCGTGCAACAGGTTACGTACATACGAAACTAGTGGTCTATCGGAAACTATATCGTTCAGATCAAACCAGTTGAGTTGATACTGAAGAAATCGTTTGGCGTATTATTAAACTATCTACCATTAGTATTGTAATTCTCCTTTACAATACAATGATAAAAGATGTAATTGTGGCTAAGTAGCCACAATTCTTTTTAAATGTAAATACTAGGTAGCTAAAGCAGTTTAATATATGATTATAAACAAATCCGTCATAAAGTTATCGACCTGGTAACATAATATTTATGAATCATACATTTATTATTTATTCTTATGACTCACACTGTTTCCGAAATCCTCAAAATAGACTGTGTCCACTTCATAATCAGGTCACAGAAACGCATCAGAAAAGAAAATATTATTGCGCACCTGGCCGTGTTTCAGGGTCCTCCAATAAGGTAAGTATATGTTTTCATAAGGCGAACCATTTCGATAAGTAAAACTAGCGACATCTTATTATTAAATACCTGAAGTATTTTTCATTTCATTCTTTCAACGAGACCTGAGCATACGTTCTTCAATTTTTATCACAACTACTGAGGTATTAAAAACTGGCGAGGTGGCTTCGCGCACCAACAGTTGCTTACTGAATTTATCTATTAAAAAAAACGACAAAATGATTCAATTTTTATATCATCAATTGTGTTGTAATAGCATTAACTATCGTACTCGCAACAGAACTGAAGCGTCAATGCCTAGTAGACGAGGAGCTAGACTGCGGTTGTCACGTAGCACATCAGCTTATAGTGTTGCGACTGCTACTCAATTCTAAGTTTTACTTAACCCGGCGAGGATGTGGTGAAAATAGTAACGTGGAGGTTGTGGAGGGTCTTATTGACCCTGTATATAATTGGCTCTAAAATACCTAAATTTATATTAATGTACCAAATATCAATCAATATTATTTATATTACATGTTACTTTTACGGTTTTATCAAAATAAAACGCAGAGAAGAGTACAAAATAATATAATTAAATCACTTTTAACAAAGTTCTACAAAATAATCAACTTTTACATAAACTTTCTAAACTTACACTAAAAACAACAAAAAGTAACTCCCTTCTTAGACGATTAACTTTTAATTTGGTACATACGTCGAGGTCAATTATTTGCACTAACAGTCTTATCATCAAATTATGAATTACAAATCATTATTGTCTGTGATTGCAGCACAATCCTGGCAGAATGAAATAGTGTGTTCTGGACACATATACTTATGGCAATCTTTACAAATATTGGCTGTCTTGCGATGGCGGGCATAAGGACATACTTGGTACTTTTTTCCTATACCTGGAACCCTAACAGGAGCTTCTTGTTCAGGTTCTCCGATGAATTCTCTGATTTTCTTGCGTAGCTGTCTCGGCAATTGAGGTGTTTCTTTGCGGCCCTGCAAATGTTCAGTAACCTGGCCATCCGATTCCTCTCTTTCTGCCATTTGTGGGTTCTGATGTTGCAATTCAGATAGTGGTACGTTATCCTCGCCATCACTGCTTGCATTTTGCTCAGTATTACTATTTTGACTGCGCGTACTCAAATGATCTTCCTTTTCGCTACCGTCGGATAACAAGTCATTTTCACTGTCAGACTGCATTAAAACAAGACGTATGCGTTCATCCTCAAGCTCCTGGCTATTCATTGTGTACGAAAAAACATAAAATTATAATAATATTAAGTAAAAATATAATTGAAACCTTACATAAAAATGTTACATCGCGGTTGTCGCGGGGTCATATTTACCCTATTTGACTGCACGCACGTTTTACTACCGTCGCAGGCGGCGGCCAACTGAACAGGGATGCGGGGCGGGCGCGCCGGTTCCTTAGCAATAGCTATTGTGACGTTCAAAACTCTTCGATGGCAGAATAAAAAACTACACACGATTAAAAATTGACAGGGTCAGAATGACCCCTCCACATCCTCGAAGGGTTAAATATCGTGCCATCTCTGTCATTTTACAAGGATTTGTAGTGACAGAACTATGTATACTCAAACGCGTCTTAAAATTTAATGGTGATTGAGTATTTGGACAATAGTCAGAGGCCTTAGTACCAGTTTGTTTTACGTTAAAATTAATCGAAACGAGACTGCATTCGGCGCTCTGATTGGTTGGTTCATTGGCGCCGGCCAATCAGAGCGCCGAACGCTTACTCCTTTCGATTACTTTTAACGTAAAAAACTCGTACTAAGGCCTCTGGTGGCGAGGAGTAGACCCCTTTTGGATGCATAAAGATGGAATTGCCATTCTTACGTACGTCACGTCCCTATAATTCGTTGCACAAGTACCTAACTTCCTGCATAAATTGAATCGGATAAACTGCTACCAGAGAACTACTGCAGCATGCAAGCTTCGCAGTAATAACGATACGAGTCTAAAACTGACCTCGAGATCGGTTTCCGTACATGCAACGCAGTCATAATCTGCGGAATCCATCATGCTTTTGTGCTGACAGTAATTCTATACATCCCCGAGTCAAATATGATTTGTTTCCAACCCAAAACCCACAGTTCTATATTCTTTCAAAAGGTTGGAATTTTGCAAGATCTTTGACCGTACGTAAGATGCACTGCGGACTAACACAAACGCTATATAAAGTCCACACTTCAAAGTGAAAAGTAACAGAGAGGTGCATCGTTAGCCTGGAGAACTCGTTTGCGATACAAAATTTTATTTCACAAAAAAACAAACAAAAATCTGTATTTAACTTAGCCAGCGTTGTTAAAGTTTTGATTTTCTATTGAATTCCATTTCAATAGTGCGCTCGTTTGCAATTATTTTGGCCGATTCATAAGCCCCGTGTATGTAATGAATTGACATTTATTGAAAGCATCGAGGACATTAATTTACGATCACCGAATTTCAGGTGTCATTTGATAAATCAAAATGATGCATGTCTACTTGTTTACAATTATATTGTAATAATTTCATACATGTAAGTAATGTATTGTACATTAATGCATATATTTCAGTAGTAGTTAGTAATACTGTGTGCTTTTTAATTACATGGGTATAAATAGTAGAAGGCATGGTATAATTATGTGGTTTGCTTTCAGAGCGGTATTATCCATTCCATACAGGTAATTAATATAGGCCTGACGTGAGTGCTTTTGCTTGTTACGGAAACTCAATATTTAATATAGGGTTTTTTAAGACCATACAATACAAACGTATTCAATTCTGTCTGTTATATTTATTAACTTCAAAAAAGGAGGAAGTATTCAGTTTGTAATCTATTCAAAACACGAAGCATTCAAAATAATCATAACAGCGTTACTTCTCGGTCAAATGTAATATAGAAAAGCCACCAGTTGAATGGTGTCCGAATTATTACCAATTACGTAAAATAGCAGTCTGGGCCCCTGTGTGAATAAGTCGACGACTCTGTTTTACTTTCGGATTATATGTTATGTATGTCACACCGGTCGAGTTCGCACACCTCGCACATACTGACTCGAGATAATAATGAATCATTTTACGTCGAATCGATGAGTTCGATGACGCGCTGCGTCCATAAAGTCGAAATATTGACATCCTCGTACAATCGGTGTACTAACATTTCGCAAAACTTCTACTAAATAGTTACGATGACAATATTCTATTCTACTAACTCAATATCAAAGTCATATTTTAAAACAAGGAAGTCCAGTAACCTGTAATGTATTATCACTACATTGTATTGTAGCCGTGCCTATTATTTGGAGACAAAGTAAGAACGTAATATTATCCGTCATCGTCAATCACATAGATACTGCACTCACATTCAAATTGGTAGGTATGCATTGTGATTGTGACCCACATAGGCATGGTCGCGATATGATCACATACAATGTATGGTAGAATACACATTAACGAGTGAGGATATGCAAATACTTACTGTAGTCGGGCGGGAATCCAGGAAATGGTCGTAGATGGCTAGCCCGGCGATAGCGAGCAGCACACCCGTGTGGAAGCCGGTCATGAATAGGCCCACGTATTGGATCAGCATAGTGATGAGCCCGAACAAGAGCCCAGCGCACAGAGCCACACCTAGCAAACATTAAGACAATTAGCTACTTCATTAGTAGATGTCGCCACGACATGGATACATGGGTTTCCGATGTAAGCGTATTGATCCGCGTAATAAGTATAGGAAACTTTAATTAATGCAGTGCACCCGAAACAGTAAGTACACTTAAGTATGTAAAGACATAGTTCCCACTAATAGGTAGGTAGTAGGTACACACTAACATAAATGCACCCGCTGAACTGAACGTAAATGTACACGTTCATAAGCTACTTCGGAACAAAGCCGCTAAATAACTTATTAGTTACTAGTACCAGGTAGTTTAATGGATCCTGGAAATGTTAATAATTTTATGTCGAGAATATTATAACAGGATCGGATTTAGCGAGCTAGCACGAAGTTGGTTTTACTGTTTGGTTTCGAGTTTTATTTCCTCGAACAGGCATTAGCACTTTTACGGCAGAATTAGGTAGTGAAAAAATGAAAAATAAAGTTGGAAAAAGCTTTTCTGGATCTAGGTGTTCCAGATTATTCTAATTCGATATTTTGAAAAGTTTATAGCGTCTGGCGCAAATTTTTAGTCTTTGAAACGGATGATAGATGTGTATTTCATTTTATATACAGATGGATTAGTTTTTGCACTCTCGTCCATTGTATACTACTTCTGCTACTATTATAAATGCAAAAATTGGGAAGGACATGTATGTTTGTTACTCCTTTACGCAAAAATTGCTTAACAGGTCTGCATGAGCATAGAAACAAAGGCAGTTTATAGTCTGAAATAACATAACGACTACGTTTCATCCTGGTAACATGATCGAAGTCGCTGGCGGCTGGCGAAGCTACATTGTAAATGCCAAACTTCGTGAGACATGATGTTATGAATGTTTGTAGTATTTTAAGTAAAAACTACTTAAGCCTTTAACTGCCGACAAAAAACTGTTAAAGGCTAATCCTCCACTAGCGTCGGTCATCATTGTCCGACACGGCATCAAATGTGTTAAGAGATCTGGATACCTTTATAGATAAAGATTGTCATTTCTATTGACACCTAGGTACAGGTAGTGTAAGAAACTACTTTTTGTTCTGGCATTGCAGGCGAAGCCGCAGGCAGAAGCTGATACAGATACAATAAAACTGTTAACTCCCTGTCGAATATTACTTCAAGAAATATATAGGTAAGGGCGAATGCGTGGGTGTAGGTAGATCCATCATCGCATGAAAACTTTCAAATTGTTTAGAAAGGTTACGTTACAGAAATAAATGAAATGATATTGGAGCCCCTTTCCTATCGGCTCATTTTGGCGATGCGATGGCAGAAAATGTCTTTATTTGGTCATCTTTTTCAAAGAACCAAACATACTAAACGACCTGAAATCGGAGTCGCGGAGAACCTAACGGGTAACCGGGGCTCCGGCTCAACGTGCAGAAGGAACGGGGTGGTTTTTAGTCAGTAAGAGTCTGATACTCCTCCCGCCTCACCCAGGCGGGAGCAGCCATTCGATGACTTTCCCCCCTTAAAAAAAACGACCTGAAATAGTTAGTACAATGAAAATTTACTTACCAACGTTCCCATATGGAGGCATCAGATACTCCTGGAGGCAGATAAGGTAGACGATAGCCGAGCCGAAAGTAAAGCCAGTCAGAAACATGCTTGCTTTGAAGCAACGATAGCCTGAAACAGATACTCTTATAAATATGTTGCTACGAAGATATATTCGCTAGTTCAATTGACTATTTAATATACAGAATGGAAATAGGCTTACGACAAAGTCGTGTGTCCATGGCAATCCCATAGTCCATTAGATTAGACATTCGAATGGTTTAGCGGTTTTAAAAACTTTCTTTTATGGGATGAAAAGATAGACCAAAAATAAAAAGATGTTTAAAAATAAATTATTTTAAGCAGTCTAAACACTGTCCGTTAATTAATGTTGTAACTACTTTAATAACAATGGGATAACAGTTATATGCGCGTACGCACTCCGGAGCGTAGTTAAATGTTTTTAGAACGTAACTAACTGTGTGCATAACGTATAAACGGTAGTTAATATTTTGAATGTTGTTTTTGTTCTATGTCTATTTAATTAAAACACCGACGAAGTGTATTGTGATCATTTGATATTTTATCCACAAAACCTTGTTGTTTACTTCAAACAAATATCCGGTTTATGACGAAATATTTCATTCGTTTTTCTGGTTTTAGTTGTTTGCTTTTAATAGGTATATCCGTGAATCAGAATAAATAAGATTTTGTCTTTAGTTTAATGTTGTAGGAATAATAAGTGTGAGACAAATATAATTTGTATTTTTGTAGGAATACAGGTATATAATTTAGTATCAAACCAAACAAGTTTGTATTATTATTATGTATGCATATCTGAAGAGCCTGTTCGATAATACGAACGCTACTTATCAGACTGCGAAAACTAAAGATTGTGTTTTTCATATTGAGCTATTTTAAGGGTTTCAAACTTCGCGCTGAATTATTATGATAGAATAGAAAACCACGTCATAATAGGACGAGGTTTTTTACATCAAATCATCCCATAAAAATGTGCAGGTACTTGTACGTCTGCTAGTAGGCACTTACCGAACAGCGTGTACACAATCCCGAATGCAATGTACATGGCGCAAAGCACGCTGATGACAGGGTCATAGTTATAATCGATTGACGTGCAGAAGGACCCCTCTACGTGGGGTCCGTTGAATTTAATGACAGACATATTCGGGGGGCTTCGCGTCACCTGAGGAACTAGTTGTCCCACTGATGACATTTTTAAAACTCACTGACGGTTGATAAATTGAATTGACCAGTATAAGATGAGTTCTGCAAAAGAAATGTGTTATGAGGTCACACATGTAGGTGCCAATCACCTTGAAACCACTTCAGCTAAATACATGAAAACTGGTTTATATCAATAGTTTTGAAATTGTTCTAAATCTTGAGCAACTGTTTGTGTTACATAGTGTCGAAGTAAATAGTATTGAAATAGAGGTGATACAAATAGATCCCATGCCATTGGCTGAAGTTTGCTTCAGTAAAACAATTTCAAGTACTGTTAAGAGAATTTCTGTACCTACAATGTGTAGTTAACAACACAGTATTTACTTTAAATAGCAATTTGAACATGCAAAGTAACAAAATTTAAAAGAATTATTCAGTTGTAAATTTTATCTAACAACTGCATTTTTGAATGGTTGCCCAGATCAGACGGGGCCTTGGTTGGTTGATAGTGTAATATTGAAAGCTGACATCATTTATTACTCATCATCTTTGCACTCAAAAACAATATGGTGTTACCCAAGTAAAATAATCATATTATCCATTTTTTTTGTCAAACATTTTTTTCGATTCATAATAAAAATCACTGTATAACGAATTATTGGCTTTTTAGAACTGTAGGCATATTTGACACAAAACTCTTTCCCAAGTTGTTTAATGAATGAATTATTTTCTAATAATTTTAAAACTGTTAGTACTAGGTACTTTCATTATTGTGACAATATAATGATATAGCCATGTGAATAAGCTCATCTTCAGTAAATGTGACTTGCTGAAGGCACCTTCATGGCGGTCAAGAATAGAATAAGAATAGTCTTTGTTTTTACTATATGTCAAATTTTGATTTAATCCTTGTAAAATATAAAAATACATGTTACAACTGATAATGGCTTTAATATAGAAATGTATAGAAGAAACTCTTTGTAAAACATGGAGAGAATAAAGTTTTTTTATCACCATGATGATGAACTGGGCACTTGGTAAAGTTATTTTTTACAGATATTGAAGTATATTTTAGCCTATAAATACAATGGAAGAAAAATGTAAGCTACAAAAATAGCATAATATATTATTTTGGTATCTACTATGAAAATTGTTTAACATTTGTTAGATCACCAGTCAATATGAATTCATTGGAGGATGATCGAGTATTTTTAATATTTTAATAAAATATTTTGGTACTTATTGCAGATAGTGTATGTATGTATAAAATATTTGGGTACATTATTTAAGTACCCAATTTAGAGATATGTTCTTACTTGTTTGTACATTATTTCAATGAAATTGGCATCTTGAATAATATTGGTGATGGGAGACTTTAAATATAATAAAAGGCATACAAACAATGTACCAGAAGGTAGGTAAGGATGACCATTTAAAAGATACATTGAATAATACCAAAATATATAAGACATTTTTTGTTCATTTAATTATGGGATACTTGTGTTAGAACAAAAATGTTTGCCACATTTAAATAAAGTGCTCCTAAAAATTTACAGGGATGTAATTTAGTCAATCTTCCTTTAGTGGTGCCTCTTTAATCCTAGATTGATTGTAATTTTTTGGTTCTTAAATACCTACAGATAAAATAAAATCTATAAAATAGCCAATAATTAGCTATAGAGTTTGCTTTTTGTTACAAAAAGTAAATAATGTTTTTTAAGAACTTGATTATATTTTTAAACAATGTATTATGTAGAGTAAAGTATAAATTTAAATAATTCTTTGATAATACTGAGGCTTAGATTGCATTTAAATACCAAGAAAAAAGAATGACTAATATGATTGTAAGGTCCATGTGCATCTTTTTATTTTATATTAAAACATTATACATTTTTTATAAACATTAAATTCAACATTGGCTGGGAGTCATTTATTAAGACTCAGCTTTACACCATTTGAAAGCGTAAAAAGATTCGAAATCAGTCAATAACAAAAACATGTTTCTACTTTGCTACCGACGACTTTGGAGCTACTTCACTTTGTTTCGTGAACAAGCTTTCGTTTCCAAAAAAATTCAATGACACTGTAAAAAACCTACCAACAAATACAATCCGGAGAACCAGTATTTAGTCAAGTATTTACAATAAAAAAATAAAATGTAAGCAACAAAAAATAACTCACCATTCTACGTCATGTGTCGATTTCACATTGTAAATTTATAAAATCCAGTACAATGACTAGGACTCGATCCTCGAATTATCGCAGCTTCTAAAACAAACGCATTGTTTTTATAATATGTAAATACCCAGCAAAGCTAACACTCCGCACTCGCGACTACTACCTACGTAAAAAGAAAACTATAGAGCAGGTACCTAACAAAGGAGACGTTTCCCACTGGTTTCCACCACCGAGTTTTCTCTGCGACTATGTTGCTGAATCTTTTTAAAATAGTGCTGTCATTTGCCACAGATAACACAAACCGAGACGGCAAAAATCGATTTGACAAGCAAACTGTCATCGATTATAAAAACCGGAAAATTAACAAAATTATTAAAAAAAAATAGTAATGTCACGTCAAATCCAAGTAATATTAAAATATAAATATTTTAAAATTAATTTAATAAATTTTTATGAATATGGGTGTTAAAATAAAAATACCGTTAACCTCGCAAAATGTAGCGGGACCGGACCGGGGACAGGGCCTGCGAAACGAAATACAATACAACCCTAGCCGCAACCGAGTGCACCTTTGTGAACCTTTGTAAATTTGTTATTTATCGCTGGGAACAGTTTTAAAGTAATATTCTCTCCGCTTTTGTTAGTGAACACAAAACTAGCACATTATATTTAGAAACGTACACAAGTTTTAAAATGTTTTGGCCAGTCATCCACGGTGTTTAAATCAAACAACACGTATTTACCTCAGTGAACAGTGTTCATTCGTAGTAGCCGCATCACCAAATTCACAATGAAGATCACAATCACTACTCTGAACGACGAGATTTTCGTCTTAGACGTATCTGAAGATTTGGAGTTAGAAAATTTTAAAGCATTTTGCGAAATTGAATCCGGGTTTCCTGCGAAAGATTTCATTTTGAATTTTAATGGCAAGCCGCTATTAGATGACAAAAAGTCTCTAAAAGAACACGGTGTTCATGATGGCGATGTGATTGTGCTGCTCCACATGATGCAGTCAGCATCCAACCTCAACCAGAACGATTCCAGTCAAGGTAATGTTAATTTTGTAATCTTCGTTTTCACTGTGCATCTAAAAATGCAGTGTCATGCCATTATTTGTCATTGAATGACAGGGTGGTTTTGACAAACTAAATACTGGCAGCATAAATAAACGTAAACAAAGAGAGAATCCTCTATCCTCAAATAAAAAAGATTTGTGACATAAATTACGTCATTTTCATCAAGATTTTTTATATTTGGAGGTTGAGTTACATTTTTAGTAAAATAATTTAAAAACATCTTCCTTGCAGCTTTGCCCACTGGCTTAGCAAGTTTAGACTTCAGTGGCATCAGGGTCCCACCAGGTGCAGCCAGCACCTCAATGGCAGCTAGAAACCCTCCTGTTGAAGAAGACCCACGCATCATCAGGGAGATGTTTTTGGCTAATCCAGATCAGCTTGCTCTCCTGAAGCAAAACAACCCTAGACTGGCTGATGCTCTTCTCAGTGGCAACCTCGGTATGTTAATGTTAACATGACATAGATACTACTTATTGCATATTTTTAAATTCTTTTGCATAATCTTTGATTGTTTTTAGTTAATAATAATATGCAGTAAGATAGTATTTTATGTACATTAAGATTAGAGACACTTGATCCTTATGACATATAAGACATTAAAGTGTGCAAAGTGTCTACAGTTTTCCCAATATTAAGAGCTTTAAACAGTCCTGAAACAGTAAAACGCTTTATCCCCCTATGTTGTGGTGTTTTAACGTCTTTTTTCTCCTGAAAATACCCACAGGCAACATCATGTGGTAATTTTTGGGATTTAATTCTTTAACAGCTATATCATGTTACAGTGCTTTATTTTGTAATATTTTGCTATCAATAATAAACTGCTACATATTATTGAAACATAAATGCATCATTAATAATTTACTGTGTTCAATAGTCTCGTTTCAGAACTAATACAAGTCACTAATATTGTGTTTAAATACACTTATGTGTATGAAGTTTGCTTACATATCTAGGAATATTTATTAGTTCTATAACGAAAATACACAGGCAAGCTAAATTACTTTTAGCTGACTATCCTTATGTTTCAAATTATAATTTTTGCTTACTAAGTTACAACAGTTAGTATTAACAAAACCATTTTAATAAAATGGTATTTTTAATACTAATTGTTACAATAACTAATGACTAACTAAACTGTACTTAATTGTATAGAAATTTGTTAAAAATTTAAATCTTGTTTCGTAGATACATTTGCTTCTGTGCTTCGCGAACAGATATTAGCTAGAACGGAACGTCAGCAACAACGGATAAGGTGACAAAATATTACAAATTAGTCTTTCATGAGATAGGTATAAATAGGGACTATGATTCAAAAGTAGACTTATTTCAGGATGATGAATTCAGATCCGTTTGATACAGAAGCGCAGAGAATGATTGCTGAGGAAATTCGTCAGAAAAATATCGAAGCCAACATGGAAGCAGCCATGGAGTACAACCCAGAAACATTTGGGACTGTTGTCATGCTGTACATCAACTGTCATGTAAACGGGTGAGCTTATCAATACAATCTTATGATAAATAGTTCACCACAGTTCACAGGAACAGGAAAACTCCCAGATATATTTATGATGTCATGACTTGTTAGGGTTTACAGTTCGTCATTTAAAATGTTAATTTAGGTCATCTAAAATACGTGAAAAGAACCAGGTCCTGAAATATGACTACAAATGTTATTAACCAAGGAACTAATTCACAGGGAAATATCACAGGTGTCACTCATTTCTTTTATTTTGTATGTTAATATAATGCACATTGCCATTTTGCTCTAGATTCCCTGTGAAGGCTTTCATTGACTCTGGGGCTCAGACTACCATCATGTCAGCGGCTTGTGCTGAGCGATGTAACATCATGCGGCTGGTGGACACTAGGTAAGAAAACGAATAAATATTAATTATATGCATACTAGGCAATCGATATATCAAAACAAAATACTGGCTAAGAAGCACTGCGAAATTTTAATGTATAATTTTTAAGGATTTTCCATATTAAACCATCTTTAGTCAAAAATATTGAAGAATTCCTCTTAGGACTTAAAAACCTAAAAGACATAATATGTTTATTACATCTCTTAGTTTGTTTATGTTTATTGATAAACTGACACGTGTTCTGAGACAATAGAGGAGTGATTGATAAAAATAAACATTATTTACATGACCAATTTAGATTCCGTCCTTCAGCTGACTTTCACTTTGTTTTGGCATTCGTTACTATGTTTGTTAGAACAAAGAAGGAAAGAGAAGATGACAGACAAAGTATTCTGTTATATAAATACATCTCATTGATTTTGCCTTGTTTAATTTCTTCTATGGCACTTTCTAGCTGGTTAACTCTAGTTTTTTTCGAAATGTCAATAGGTCGTTTTTCATGAATTTTGGTTGTCATAATTTTCTGTTAATTAGCTAGATAAATGTTAAAATTAGGTATTTAGTTAGATACTGTATTTTAATTGAGGAAACACTAGTAATGTGATCGTACTTCAATAATTCTCTACCTACACAAAAATGTTAACAACAATTTTTGTTTTGTATCAGCATCCACTAATATTTTGAATTTCAAATGGGTAATGCTGTATCTTTTATTCAACAATTACACTTATCATAAGTCAATTCTATAAATAAGATACCGTTATCTTTGAATACAGAGTTTCGTTTTTTCTACAATACTTATCAAAAACAATATTACGTAATAAAAACGTATTCGAACTCCCTTAGTGTATATCAGAGGCCTTAGTATGAGTTTGATTTACGTTTAAAGTATTCGAAACGAGTTCGCGTTCGGCACTCTGATTGGCCGGCGCCAATGAAGCAACCAATCACAGCGCCGAACGCGTACTCGTTACGATTACTTTAAACGAAAAACAAACTCGTACTAAGGCCTCTGGTCAATCTATGACCGAACAACAAAATTAAAAACTAGCGCAATCCAAAATGATCTAAGTTTAAAATCGTTTTTTGACATTTATTATAGAGGTACATATTAAAGTCCTGCCATAAAACTAGATCAATTCAAAGGTGTGACAATTCAAAATCCAGATTTTTATATACAATCTGTTATTATATTTGCCGCTTATGCGACTGTGTGTCATTATGCCAATAGCTCAGTCGTTATTAACTAAATGTAAAGAATTTGCATAGAATGCCTAATTATTACCTAATACCCGGAGTTTTAAGCAATAAGTTGGTTAATTACACATATTATGTAATGTATAATAAATTAATAAGCACATTAGGCTAATTGAAATCCGAACCCCAACTATTTACTAACCTGTTATCTTAATAAACTGGTTTTATAAGTCATTAAGATCGAATACGAAATATTGTAAAATATAACGGCTTTTGAAGAGTAGTCAACAAATCGAAAATTTAGTCAATAGAGTACTTATTTTGATACTCTAAGGGGGGCCGAATTGCCGACCAGTTTTTTTTTTCTATTAATATTCAATGAATTTAACATGTGGGGCCTGAATCTATGGGCATAGAGTACACAAATTTCTTGCCTGCTTCTGCCATTGTTTAAAAAACGACTTCTATGTATTCATGGTCATAACTTGACGCGAATTTATTCATCCCTTATAAAATGGGGGCTTAAACAGTCGTAATTTGTTTGCAATTTTACATTTTGTTTCATTACGAAGTAACTTCTCGAGAATTGTTACTCTTTATATCTTTAAGTTTATCTGTCTAAACTACAGCAAAATAACGGTTTGCTTGATAAGAATAGAAGATGTACACTTGATTTGAACCCAACAAAATCATAATATCGTTTCATATCCTGTTCGTTGAATGAGTATTTATTTACGCAGTAATTTAGAGAGCATCATAAATCTGCATTGAGCTTTTCTAACGTCGAAAAAACAAGAAATATTAAGAAAATTACATTATCCAATAGAACCCGTTGCGAAAAATAAAACAGTATTTATTTATTTATCTAACAATATACGGATTCGTTGTTTTAAATGTCGTTGACATATTACTAGTTTGTATGTAAATCTAATGCAAAGTATATACGTATTACGTCTGTATAAAATAACAGTACTAAAGTAATTTCTCGTGGTAAAATTGTTCCGAATGTGGAAAGTAATTTCTTAATTTTCTGATATAAAGAAATCGTGAAAATTTGACCCTTGAGTTATTCCGACACAAATGTGACCAACGTGACTTTATTTTATGTAATACACAAGTTTTGCCAATTCACACAAAATTTAGTAAAAACCTTACATCAGACTGTTTCTTTGAATACTGTTGAGAAATTTTAGTTTATATTTTGTATGGGTTCTCCAAAAATATTAAAGTTGGCTAGTTTTCGAGGCTTCTCGTCTCTTTTGTTGTGGCTGCGTCATTTGAAAAGTTGGCCAGGTCACAAGATTGCATACCGTGGTAGTTTTCTTTTATGTCCAATATTATTCAAGGTGATTTTTAACGTTATTAGTACGTCGCCCTAGACTAGAGTTTCTTTTTAACAAGGCTCCATAAATGTATGCCCATAATATTAGTATCATTACTGAGTATGATTTTGTTTATTGGAATTTTATATTTCAAAATTCTATGTAAAATTAAAAGAGCCTTACCTACTAATATTATTTTACTGTCTGCCTACTTGAAACTGTACCAAAGAGATGGACTTGAGACGATATCAAAAAAGGTTTGCTCTCAGACATTAACAACCTTCTTGGAAAGTACCTCAATTTATCGGCTTAAATCTGTACTGTTAATGTTCTGGAAAATTCCATCATTATCGAGTCAATACGAACTAAGTAAGACTCAAGCCCACTCGCACCCATTTTTGCCTTTCAGACAGATTATTTTCAATAATAATATTAAGTACGGTCTTATAGGTACTATAGACGTGTTTTCTTTACTCCCACAATTGACCTTCCAAGTGTATTGTACTTTACTAATGAGTATCAATTTACTTTGTTGATACATCTATTTTGGTAGACCATGAACTCTATTTGTATTTTTGTACCGTAATTGCTTTGCTACTAATGGTAGTACATAGATAGGTATATAAACAATATTACATATTTCATTCCACGAAGCGCTAGATCGTGCCACTTACGATACAATTACTTTTAATTATTTGTATTAGTTATTACTTAATTATTATGTTTTCGGCTTACTCACGTAACTATTTGACGAGGAACATAGTTATGTTATATTATTACTTATTAGGAAACGAGGATAACCCAAAACAGTAATTCCATACTATGTTAGAGATTACGAATTACTTAAATGTAATGAGAAATCAAAGACACAGTCAAATAATTTTTGAACATCAAATAAACACAAATATAAAACTTAAAAAGTGTCAATCAGTCTGTCGGGCAGTTCCTCGTGAAGCTAACCATTCGTTTTCATATGGAGATACGAGCAAAAATCTCCATAATTACTCTTTTTCAATCAATTTTATAATCCAGTTATTGGGTACATTGTTTTGTCGGTTAAATTATGTAAAAATAATAACACAATCATCGTAATACCTTTTACTCATATTTCACATACAATTATAATGAGTATGAGTATCAAGAAATTAACTAATAATTTAGTAATAGTTAAGTACTTATAGAGACTGGCTAGTCTTATATAGTCTGAACCTGACCTGCGTGGGTTCAGAAAACTGTGAATTATTTCAAGGAAAGGTAGTCAGTGCCATTGCACTTTGCTCGGTTCGTCTCGCCGGAGGTACACCCATGCCTCCAGATTTAGACTAACTACTTAGACTTTTATAAAAATAATGGTCCTTTATATTCGATTCTTAGAATTTCTACCTTTTATGCGATTTTATTATGTTTCTACCATTTATATTTATACATTTTTCCACGCTCATTTTCTTTGAAATCATTTATTAGGGACGTAGACAGGATATAAGAAGGCGACACCAATTTAGTCCTGATATGTTATTTTGATGTTGTCGAAATAAAAACCCACCAACTTAGATATAGCTAATTATGGAAGATATGCCTGGGCATAATGGACATTGCCCACTTTACTTCTACGAATGATACATCCAGAAGGACATAAAAAAAGTTAGGTAGCTACCCTACTCATTAAAAGTAACTAAAAACATTTGTCTAATGGTAAACATGCTGGATAAATAATATTCTTGTAGCAATTTGCTTGCGTCTTATCTTATAAGGATATCATAGTGAACATTCTGGTTAACTTTATTAATGGTGTATACAAACGCACAAACTTGAACACTTATTGTGTAAATCACAATAAACCAGGTGAAGGGATCAGGATTAGGAATAGATGTAGATTATGGTAGTAGTAGGTAGGTAGGGGTAGATAATTCACACACACATAGCCAACATTTTTCCCAAGGGAACACGACCAAAGCCGCTGGCAGAAGCTAGATTTTATGTCTAGATTTGAAAATACATTTATACGATAACTGCGTTACACACTATAAAGTGTACACGCCGTCAATTAGCAGTATAAAAACAATCTGTTGTAGACAACACGTGCTCGATAGTAAATAATAACAATACAATAAAATAATGCTTAATAAAATATCACCCTTTGACATTTACCAGTCCTCACTGTTAATATGTATCTGTCGGCGGTACAGTCAGTGTTAAATTCGTATCTTAATAAAGCAATCATTACAGTGCACGGTGTTCTTTATGATGTTCATGTCCAGCGAACTGTATCCAACGTTTTTATTGGCGCACGCGTGTGCCAGCTAATTGAAAGGCAGGTCGCTTTGTGCGTACGCTATCGTTCTATAAATACTCAACCGTGATAAACACCCTCCATCTTGTCCTAGATGGGCAGGCATCGCCAAGGGCGTGGGCGTGCAGAGAATCATTGGCAGGATCCACATGGTTCAGATGAGAATCGAGAAAGATTTCCTCACCACGTCTTTCTCCGTGCTTGAAGAGCAGCCTATGGACATGTTGCTCGGCTTAGACATGCTCAAACGTCATCAGGTAATAATATAATTTTCCTCGTTTCATTGAAGACGAGAAACCTGTAAGGAATTGCATTAATGTGTGTGTGACCTTTGCAGTGCAATATAGATTTGAAACGGAACGTTCTGCGCATCGGCACGACGGGTACGGAGACGCCGTTCCTGCCCGAGTCGGAGCTGCCAGAGTGCGCTCGGCTGTCGGGGTACTCGGAGGACGAGATCGTGAACCAGTCCATGCGGGACCACGAGGACCGACAGGTCAAGGAAGCTATGGAGAAATCAAAGCAAGGTGGGCGTGCCAAAAAGAAATAACAAGTGCGATTCGATATGAAAAATTGTGGAGATGTGATTCGTTTTTGCACCGTAATAAAAATAGTAACGTATTATTTAAAACAATAAAAATCGCAAAACTAATCCCTTGTTTCTGTGTAGTTGATTGCATGTGTGGAGTAGCTAACGGCTTGTCGGTAACGCGTGCATTTTTGTCGGGAAAGTCAAGTCAGTGAATGGAAACGGTAATGAAACGAACAAGTTGAGGATCGAATGATACATGGGATGCCGCGTCGATGCATGGGGGATTCTTCCACTCGACTGTAGTTCTATTGAATCTTACAATGCTAGTATTTTAGAATATTTTACTATTACTAACACTGGTTGATTTTCTATTAATATTATTTTCATTCTTTAATTTCCTTCACTGTACTTTTTCGAGGAGGTAAGTGGAAGAGCAAGAGGAGAAAGGGTTTGTGACATTTTGATGTTTTAGCATTATAAAGCTTTATTAGTGACAATAAATTAAACTAGTTTAAACATAAAGTGTTTGTTTCAACTAAGCTTTAATGTTTCATCTATTTAAATTATTATTTTGCTTCAGTTTGTAAAGATTATTATAAAAATGTATTCAATAGTTTAGTTACAATTAAAATTATCTTCTCTTTTTTTGTTTTCTATAGATGTGTTTTTACTCTGTATTAAGTAATAACGTCTATGTCGTTTTATATTTGTAAATAATAATAATAATTTACGGACGTATCTATCTATTGTATGATTGCTGTAGTTTAGATTCTAGTATGTATTTAGTATATTTCATGAGTTTTAATTATAAGTGAAAGTTATTGTGTATAGGAGCTAAAATACACATTCTAGTAAAAAATATGTTAGTGGTCCAGATAAAAATAGCAAGGAGAAGCAATTTGATGCAACAATGTATGTTGAAGGCCACGGGACAATATATTTGATTGAGCGGTTGCATCTTCGTACTTGGAACCGCTAAATGGGCCGGACATACCGACCCTGCACTGCATTCAATTCCAGCAATCAACATTGACCTTTATAGCAACAGGATAAAGGCAATTTTTATAAACAGGATTGTACGTAGTTGGCAAACTTGAGCATGTTTATGATTTGTTATGTAACGTAATTTAACATTGAACAGACGCAGCTTCGCACCAGGGTTTTAGACCGACTACTAGCGGCCAGTCATCGTCAGTGCCAATGCAAATCAATAACCAGAGGATGGGTATGTATATTGGCGAGACAACTTCTTCATTTGTTAGGGATCGCTTAGTATTGTGGCAGTGATGTATTCACCGTATTTAGTTTTATGGTGGTGGTTGTTCTTGAGTTAATAGAAATTTAACGGATTTTTCGTCTTTTTCCAGTTCTTGGTGATCCCAGCCAGACTATTCTGCCAAATGACAACTTCGGTGAGGCTGAAGTAGAAGAAATCATGTCACTGGGATTTACTAGGGAGCAGGTACAAATTTTTTAATACGGTTACTTTAAATATATAAGGTGCCTTGTTATTAAAACTTAACCTAAGAAGTCGTAGACCCAATAATTTTACACAAGAACCGGTGTACAATAAGTTTTAATGTTCACTTGAAAATTGCCTGTAACTCGAAAGTATTAGATAGAAAATAAGAAACCGGCGATATGTTTTTTTATAGTCTCTTGTAAGTAGTTATTCTGAATAGCGACTTATTTTTCTATCTTCTAGATTCTTAACTTGATTTTTTTACGTTTCAGGCGATCGTAGAGCTGCGCCGCTTCAACGGTGACAAGACTCAGGCCACGGTGGCTCTCTTCGCCAAGTCTCTGAAGTTCTAGGCAGACAGTCAGCACCGACCAACCACGGCTGAGTCATATTGACTACATTTCAATTATAATTATCATACTAAGATATGAATTTAACATTATACATTTTAACTGTAGTCTTCGAAAACATCATTTAGCTAAAAACATATTTTAGCCCGATTTATACATTTGGTAATCGTATTTTACTGGTAGTAGGTAGGTACCATAATAATATAAAGTAGGTACCTGTAGATTGCAAGTAAATAAGTAGAATCAACACCATATTGATGATTGAAGCCTTTTCTTTGATCATCATATTATTTTTACATACAGTTTGTATTGAATACCGACTGATGCTATACATTATATATTTATACGTCTAAAGCTCGGGTTTTTGCATTTGCATAAGTTGCCTATGCAGAACAATTTATTGTGTGTAGTTTGATCAAATCGATCACTAGCGTGATTAAGCCTCGGCGTCAAAGACTTATGCGCATGTGTGTAGTGCTGGTTTATGACCGCCATATATGTTAAGGGATTGTCTCAAGACTTTAAGTAAGTGGAATACCTAGCGTATAATCATATTTCAACTCCATTTTGTGCTGTAATTTGCGAATAACATCGTAGTTGTAGGCATGTACCGAGTACTTTACAATATAAGATTAATAGGCATTGTGTTAGTCGTGACACAACAAAAAGACTTGCATATCCGTCTTTACATCCAGTAATTTGAAATACATGCGAACAGAAGTATTACAGTCGTCTGTGGAATTCATGTATAAAGTTGACCAAACAAATAGCTTATACAAACACTTAAAAATAAATAAAATCGGAGATGCTTTTGCAACGTTTTAATACTTTTTTATCGAACTATTTTTAGCGAATTAGACACAAAATGGACAATAATGAAACATATTTAATTTTAAATATTAGTATTTCAGTAATGTGCAGCATAATCTTGTAACCCATGTCATATAATGGATTATTAAACGTATTAATTATTATAATAGATTGTAATATTTAATGGAATTTTGATCTCTAGGGATTCTTTTACCGTAAGGCTGTATTAGCCTGGTCTATGTAAACCAGCTGTCTTTAAATTATACTTTAATCTGTATGCATTTTATAATTTAAATGGGTTATCAATGGGTTTAGCGAATTTACTTTATCAAAGTACTAGTTTTTAGCAGTCGACAGTTTTTTATTATAAAGTAGTTTCATATGTAATTTTAGGCGATATTTTATATGTTTTCATGAATAAAAAGAATTAGTTTTATTCCAAAATGTAGTTTCAATTTATTTTTCAATAACTTTAATGAACCCTGTACTTAGCTCCAATTTGAACACCAAATGTATAATATCACTAAACAGATTATGATATAGTTATAACGCCACATTTCTTTAAGAGTATGCTCACGCTCACACGTCACAAGAGATCTTAGCGTTATAGCGATATAGCTAAGATTGCAACATGTTAATTATTGTACGACGAGACAGTATTTTTAGGCATTACGTTAGACAATAGGCTACAATGGGGTCCGCATATAAAGGCGCTTTCGAGGAGATTGAGCTCAGCTGCTTTTGCAGTTAGACAGATTAGACAGCTCACAGACGTGGATACAGCTAGGCTTGTCTATTTTAGTTATTTCCACAGCATTATGTCGTACGGCATTTTGTTATGGGGTCGAGCTGCAGAAATAGAATCAATATTTATTCTGCAAAAGCGGGCTATCCGAGCAATATATAACTTACGCCGTTGCGAATCGCTGAGAGAATTGTTTAAAACGATAAATATTTTAACGGTGCCCTGTCAATATATATATGAAAATATAATGTATGTAAGGAAAAATAGGCAATTGTTTGAAAAAAGAAGCGATAGACACAATTTTAATACTAGAGGCAAAAATAAGTTAGCTATACCGCAATTCAGACTGTCCAAAGTACAGAAATCCTTTATGGGGTTAGGTATTAAATGCTATAATAAAATACCAAATAGCATACTAGATCTCAATGAAAGTAAATTTAAAACATATATTAAGCGCGAATTATGTAATCAAGCTTACTACACACTGACAGATTATCTTGAAGATAAGAATGCTTGGCAGCATGTTGGTTCGGCTCCACTGGACAATACTCAAATGTAGTCAGTAGTTAAATTCCAATAGTAGGTAATATAATACATAATTTAATACTTTAATTCTAATGTAGACAATCTAGTTTCCTTATGGCATCGAGCATTTCTTTCTTTATTGAAACAAAGAGTTTCCTTTTTCTTGTATAGAAGCACTATTTCTATGGATTGTCAGTATGCATATGTGAGCACCATGTTAGACTTAAGATCTTTATTATTTTTATTTTTATTTTAGTAAGTTATTAGTATAATGCGTCAAGCGTGTCTTTGCATTGTTCTTACATATGCGTACAGTATTGAAATATGTATCAGAGACATTGTAGAACATACTTTTTTAAAAGAGTAACGAATGGAGTTTCTTGCTCGTTCTTCTCCATTCGAATCTACGTTTTGGAATGAGCACCTAGCTTCACCTAGCTTCACTGACGGACTGACTGACAGACTATTATTTATTTTGTATTTGTTGACGTTTCAAAAGTACCAAACTATGGTTTAGTTGAAATAAATGCTTTGACTTTGACTTTGTTGGGTGTTCCAAATAAAGGTGAATGATGTTAAAATGTTATACAAAAGCTTTATAAAGGGGTCCATAATGGCTCTCGTCTGAGGTGTGGAACTTCAGTCAGAACACTGCCTTGTACTCTGCCGCCGGCGCCCATGGTCATATGACTCGAGATACCTTTTATTGTATGCTGTGTGGGTAAAGATATGTTCATACATACATACACAATTGTATCCAGAAATAAAACAAATTTTACGTCCATATATAACTTAGTATAATATCCACGTTTTACAAATGTATAACAAATATCATAAGTACCTACGTACAATGGAGATCAATGAGCTTAATTATCTACTATTAGACGATATCAGGTTACGAATTACTCGCATATACTGCGTAGTACGCCTGCGAGACGTATCTAGACAAAACACCTACAAGTTACACATATAGAAAAAATAAATATTGGAAGTCCTCAAATAGGTTCAGGTTATAAGAACCATGCGAGCCAATAAACAAATCCGATAGGTAGTTGAAAACAGATTTCGTTAATGAATTCGCATAATCATCGTAGTTTCAATAAGTACAATCGCTTGTACAATATCTATACAATCGTCAATACATTATAAATTTGCGTTTACTTCACTGATATACTACTCGCTAAACCTACACGGTGTCATCAGAATCAGGCGGTTGGCTTGCTAATTTATTTGCCATTGCTGTTAAAATGTCGGTCAGGCGAGCGAATCTTTGGTTCGGTGTAGTAAGTGCTCCTCTCTCGCCCCATAAGAAGTTGATGTGGAACTCTGTTCTGAAGAGTTCCAGGAGTGTAGGATCTAACACAGGTCCTAAAGAAGACATCTCCTGTACGACTGTCCTTGCGTTGCGCTTGAACATATCGATTTGGTTGGGGAAGTGCCTGGCCGCGTCCAAGTGAGCTGCTGTCGCGTTAAAGTCAAACTCGAGACTGTTCATCAAGCTACTAGGGAACGTATCGTCTGGCTGCATCAGTCCTCCCCCTTCACCGTCTGTGAAAGCAAGTAAAACATTTATAATTGAATATAAAAAAGTGTGTTTTGTAATGTGATGTAAGAAAGTATCCGAGTAGGTAACTGGCGCTCTATTATAGTTATTGCCTTCCCCAGGGGCTCAGGGGACGAAAACTTACATTCCTGTGTAACTATAGTCATAATTTATTTCCCATTACCGAAAGAACTGTGGCGTGGTGCGAAAGTACGTAATAACTCACCAAAAATATGGAAACTCAGCACTGGCGGAAGGACATATGGAGTCGTTGTGTTCGGTGGTAAAGGGTTGGTGCCCTCGTTCATACTCTTGAAGCAAGGCCTTAGTTTAGCCTCGAACATGAAAGCGTTGTCAGTGTACACCCTCCTCAAAATATTCCAAGCATTCTCTAAACACTCCACCTGATAATGAAAAAGAAAAAATATTGTAATTAAGAATAAGTAGGTACCTTTAGAAATCTAATTAAAAATCTGTAATGTCTACCTGTGGCATACACAAGCCAAACATGATAGCAGAAAATCCGTAGAGATTTCCAAGAGCGGTTTTTGTTTCAATAGCCAGTAAAATCCAGTCATTGATAGTGTCAGCGCGCTGTCTATCCGTTTGGCAGGTCAATATTGTTACCGCAATAAGCAAGCGGAAAGTCTCAATCCTGAAAAATAGACGCTTCGTTAAGTTTCATTCTTCTCAATCAGTTAAGTCACTATTTATGAACGCTTGATACCTCTCTATTATATCTAAACGCAAAGGTCGCCCCTGTGGCAAAAACAATAGCTCCAATCCTGATGCCGTCCTGTCAAGACCTTCAATTTGAATGGCATCCTCGAAAAAGAAGAACAAATCGACCTTTGTCATGTGATTTGCTAAAATCCTCGGTCCTGAAGTACGCAGTAACAATTTAATCGTATGCAGAGTCTCGGATTCAAGAGGTTTCGTAAGACCTGTCGGTATAATTTGTGATTGGAAGTTTTCTAAGTTTATTCTCGAATCAACTACGTAATCCAAATTTTCAGACTGCAATAGTTTAGCTTCTGTAAGTTCATAATCAAATTGTTGTTTTATTGTAGGTGTTACAAGATGGTAATCAGATTCCATCCTGGATTTATTTGGATCACTGTGCGCTGAACTCTGAGTCGAGTCTCCGGACCCATTGCCTGAATCGGAACCTGAAACCTGGTACAGTCGTTGAAGTTCTAATCTTCTATCGTCAGCTTTCGGGCCATCGTATCTGGCAGGCTTGGCTGGAGGACTAGTAGGGAGATTGGCATCCCACGTACTTGAACTGGAATTTGATTCACAGAAGTTTTTGCCCATCATGCTCGTTTGACTTTGGATCACTCCATCAGCGCTAGCACTTTTACCATGCGTGACATGTTGTCCCATGTCTATAGGAGTTAGAGAATGAGATCTTTGCTTCTTGAAAGGGACTCTCAGCTGCATACCTGGCTTGGCTGCAAAGTGACTGTACAGACTGTACGGGTTCCCGTACGAGCCATCTGCAACCGGAGAAATGACAGAACTAATGTCATCGTTCTGAATATAATTCGTCAAGGGTGACACTCGGTTGGCTGGATACTGGATGCGGGCACCAGAAGCGGCTGATATCGGTTTTCCGGATCCCACATATGAGGTGATGAGATCTGCGACCGTGTCGTAAGCTTCGTCTTCGAATTGGTATTGATGTCGTTCGTAAACCGTGTCTGGGTGAACAACGATCTGAAAAAGTTATCATGTAGGTAATTAAACCATAATTCGCTATGTATATACTTAAGTAATTGCATCAGGAAAACTAGATAATTCGCCAATTTAAACGTAAACCTGGTACAATATCTTTACCCGTTGTATAACGAAGTGCAGATGTTGTCCATTAGACCTACAGCTGAGCACGTAGTTGTCAGGTTGTGACGATGAATCCCTCACGAGGAATTCCCGGTCCTGTTGCAACAGATTTTCCGCAGCTGTTCTGCTGAGCGCGCCGTGGTACCAGCCGTGAGATATGATCTGATCAGATGGCAAAGAGAACTCCCACTCCAGCAAGCCCGATGTAGTCATAGCATTAGGATCCTGGAAAGTGAATAAAAAAAATTATAAGTATTATTAATATCTAAGACTCCTCTATCACTTTTATACACACAAGACACAAGATTTCGTTTTAATTGTGGAATTCAAAGTTAGATCTATCCTACATATTTCGTTTCAGGTACAAAAATGTATGCCACCTACAACTTGGAAACATTCATCAAAACTCCATCTAAATTATAATGAATGGATCTGGCACTTCAATTAAATTCGTATTTGAATTAATAGTAAAGAAATCCTAATAGGTACGAGTCATCTGGGTATAGGCGGTGAGGTAACCACGAACAAGGTATAAAACAATCGTATGTCAACAATTGAACACATAACACACGATTTTTATTTGCTATAGACTTTGTACATTTATAAATACCATTTATAAATTAACGAACATGCATACAATCGACTTACCATGTTTATAAGTCACTTTATACACAAAAGGAAACAAAATAACATTTATGTTTTGGCAGTGGTCGAAATTGTGAGCCGGCAATTTCACCCCTCGGCGGGGTCGTCGTTCGATCGATAAAACTACCCGCCCATTTTTAACTGTATGTTGGTAGCAAAATGGTTCCAACTTCACGTATCACGATTACGCATGCGCGCTGTTTTCCATTTTGATTGGAGATTTGAATTTATTTTATAAAAAAAGTATATTTAAATTACTTATTTTATTCTTATATAATTTCTGTTATTTTATTTCAAGAATTTATGGGAAGTAGAAATATTTTTACCTCAAATATAATTTTGTAACACTGATTTCTCGCCAAACTGCCTACTGGAAGATGCCCAGTCTACATGAGAGGGTTTGTCACAATACAGCAATGTGGTGACGGTAGGTAAGAAAAAAAAGTCATCAGCATCCCACACCGCCCATACTCTTTCTGTGGGTGTAATCCTAAGATTGTCTGAAGAGAACTGCTGAACTGATCACACAGTCAGAAATCAAGCACCTATTGTCGACGGTGAAAGTCTTGTGGGTGATAATGATGTTGTTTTGTGTAACGAGTAGTTGATGCTATAATTTTATTGCTATACAACGTAATTATTTATGTTGTTTGATTTTTGTGACTGGTTCAATACGAGTTAAGACTAATTTGATACTCTGATAATCAAGATTAAGACGTCATAATACGCCACCAGGTCATATTGTTTTGTTATTACCTACTTGTAAATTACATGAAGTGTTAATATAATATATGTTAATATCTGTTAAGTACAAGTTGCACTTAACGGCTATTATTGTGGTTTTACTTATTAGATACAAGTATTTACTTGTGAAAATAAATATTTCGAAGAGTACAAGATGTTCACAAGGTATTGTAACTTGTATCAACAATCACTTTTTGAAAAAAACATTGAATACAAATGGTTATTTAGTAGAACAACGAATGAAAACAATCAAATTTTATGGACATATGATTACGTTTATTGTAACAAAATAACTTAAAGAACGTAACAAAATAACTTAAAGAACTAAGTAACATATTATATTAATAACTATAATTAGACTAATCTTTATATAAAAGCAAGGACTATGATAGGTACTTATAAATAAAAAAAAGTATTTACAATTAAAATTAACATGAGAAAATAGAAAAATAGGATAGTAAATAAAAGAACAAAGTAACGCATCAAAAAAACATGTTGAATGGATGGGTGGACGACAATGCTTACAATATAGTAGCTACTAAGATAGAAACCAGCCTCTCCGATCACTTGAAGTGATCTCATTTGGTCCATCTTCTTTGTAAAGCACAATCAACCTGTAAAAAGAATGTTACAATTAATGTTATTCATATTTTTATACCCCCACGCCTAATATCCCCGTAGGGTAGACAGGTGTACATATTGGCTCAGTGTCTCATATCACTAAAAATATAATATGGGTATTGTTTTAACAGACTTCAAATTCAGACTCCCATGTTTGGATGGTTGCCATATATTTGTTTGTTCACCGATTATTCTCTTATTTGTGAACCGATTTTCAAAATTTTCATTTTGATTGAAAGGTTATAGGTAAGTACTGCCGATTTATTTGTTATTAGTTTTCTACGAACTTTTGGTCCGTGCCCTTGTCACACAATATATTACAATTTTGTATTCATTACATAACATCACGACTTTTATCCCCGAAGGTGCACATTACGGCACTTAATGCCACTGTACAATGTAACACCCACTTTTCACTATTTATGTTATGAGTCCCATGTAATAGGAGGTGAGCCTATTGGCACATTTCCTAACTCCGTGCTACTACTGAGATTAAAAAAAAAAAGTAATACTTTGCCCGACCCGGGAATCAAACCCGAGACCCCTTGCCTAGAAGTCGCCCTTGCGAACAGTCGGCCAATAAGGCAGTCAACTTTGTATTCTTGTCAATATTTATGAAACAGTTAATACCTTATGTCACATAAAAAAAATACAAATCACTACAATTATGTTACAACTTACTACAAAAATACTTACATATTATAATTGTCTCCACTAAATCAACCCAACCAACACGCTGGTCCAGCAGAAGGCACAGTTACGGCGTTTGTGGCAATACTAGCAATTGATCCGATCAACCTTTTTCTTGGGAACGGAGCAACCCTGCGTGCTGCGCCATCCACTGTAGAACATTAATAATTACATGGAGCTATGACTGTCAATACTGTTAATAGGGGGTGACCCTAATTGCCACGGGCACAAACCAGATTCCGTGCTAATACTGAGAAATTTTCGATAAAACCACATAAACACTATCCGAACCGGAAATCGAACCCTTGCTCGACAGTCGCACTTGCAACTCGATTTATTTATTATTTAGAGATTGTGCAGTCTTTGCATTTAGAATTACAAAATAAAAAAGAAACAAGAAAATAAGACCCTAAAAATAAGTTGGTAAGTAGGTATGTAAAAATAAATATATGTATATAGGTATAGTTGGTATATACCTAACTTGAGACCAATTCACTATCTGAGATTCACGACTTTTGGCATTGACCCTTAGGTACTCGATGATCGGTCAGTACTTGGTTTGTTCGTTCGATCGATTTCTCAGTCTACGGATGTTTCAACTATGACCTTTGGTTGTAAAGATGTTTGGCTCGAGTGAATCGCACTCATGACGTAGTCTTGAGACTAGGGCGGTTTGCTACCTCCACCGGGAGGCCTGTTCTCCTTCATCCTGAGCATTTTACACTCGTCAGCACATTTGGTTGTGATAACTTTCCTGCAAAGCAAATACAAATTAATGATAGATAGGTAAGTATGTAGTTATGTACCTACTAGTTATCTCGCAACTTATGACGTCATCATATTTCTGCGTCAAATAGCATACTTATTTCCTCAAAATCAGCGAGAAAAAATATAAAAGTAGGTAAACTGTCAAATCAATGGATGAGAGTATGATTATTTTAAATTATTTATTGCATTGAATAGTTTAAACAATTCATTTTAAACCTAGGTAACTAGCCAATTGTAAGATTGAGTGTAAGATTACACTCAACCTGATAACTAAGCACCGAGCTAGATAAATCTGACAAGGAAATACGACTGAAAAAATATTTAAACCAACTCACCTGATCATACTCTTTTTCAATTTACTTGATTTAAACCGCGTTTGCACCGTCGTAACGATGTCTTCCACAATCTGAGCATCTAAACAGGCCTTGACTGGCCTATCTAAGAAAGCTGGAGACCTCTTACCAGTCAAGGAATGCGTCGCGAGTACACTGTAAAAAAAATACACTTTATCTCACTTATCAGTTCGTGTATTTGGAACAGGTCTAACGTCTGGAATAACAAATAGGTTTGTGCCATGGGAATGCAGAAGCTAGTAATAAAGCCTTTACTGGTGGTCTACAAGATTGAGTGTCGTGGTGGCCCGGAGGTATACGACGCCCGCTTCTCATACACGAGGGTATGGGTCCGAAACCTACCAACGCCAAGTACCAATGTGACATTTTCAGAGTTATATGTACTTTCCAAGATTTCTCAGACACCACTGACAAACGGTGAAGGAAAACATCGTGAGGAAACCTGGGCTTATAATTTCTAATTTTAAGATTAAAATCGCCAACCCGCATTGAGCAAGCGTAGTGATTAATGCTCAAACCTTCTCCGTGTGGGAAGAGGCTTTACTCAGCAGGAAGCATTATAGGCTGTTGTGTGTTTGTGTGTGTGTGTGTGTGTGTGTGTGTGTGTGTGTGTGTGTGTGTGTGCAAGTTACACGCAAGATATTACTAAAAGGTACATAAAGTCCATAATAAATGCAAAGAGGTACGAAACTATAGTAAAGATCGGTGGAATAAAACTACTTATGTGATGATTTATCAATCAACAGATAATTTTTATCTGTAGTGTAGAACAACATGTATAAAATTGACATTTGACAGTTTTAGTATGCAAGAATTGTCAAATAAAATACGGTATTCAAAATTATTCCTTCGACCCCACCAATAAAATTTACCTGGCGTTGAAAACAGCTCTTAGAAGCATAGAAGCCGAATGTCGAGAGTATTAACATTGTATGTGGAAACGATTTATTAAAGTTTTATTATTACTTACGATTGTGAAAACACCGCCCGTAGTAAGGACCTGGTTGCCACAGTGTAGGAATCCCATTTGACTCTCAAAAATTTCCTCAGAGGCACCAATGTCTGGCCAGAACCTATAGGCACCTAGAAATATTATTATTATCATTAAATTCAGTTAGGTATATTACCCACTTAGTAAGACGAAGTAAAATGGAGGCATTACATTTTCTTATTTTGTTGTGGGTAATATGCATATAGGCATGTTCTACTAACTTGGGCTTTTTTTTTCGAAAGTGTAGGTAGTAGTAGTATAATTGGCCTAAATCAAAAATCGTAAATTGAAAAAGTCTGTGATAAATTCCAGTTAGTAGAAACTTAGTTTTATTGTTACAATTTTGACTGTGACATCATTATTGACCGCGGCATAACTGTCATTTACAGGTTTGATGCGTACCATCGGTTCCATTGCCGCGGGTTCCATGGGTACCTCGGGTTCTATGGGCACCAATGGCTCCAAGGCTGCTTCGAGTACCACAGGTTCTACCAGAGGAGCGACGTGCGCCATAGGTGCCACGGCCTCAATGGGAACCTGGTGTACCGCGGGTTCCACGGGCTCAATGGGTACCTCAGGCATCGCAGGTTCGACGGGTTCTATGGCTTGAACGGCTTCTGCGGCTTCCACGGGTATTGGTTCCATGGCTGTGTACAAAACGGCATGTTAAATACTTTAATTCAGGGTGGCCGTCGACACCATTCACGCAATTAGTTTAGATATTTTTCGTATCCATGCAGCTATCATGATATTCATGATGAAAAATTACGCTACATTGGTACAGTTTAAAAACAGAGAAGAAATTGTCCAAAAATTGTATCGTCAACATACACATTTATGATCTACGTGTGGCGGTAATCTGAGGATGCCAAAGAGCAGAGAAATATGTATCTATGCAATTACTTACGCGCTAGGGCCGCTATACCAACAGGGCTGTGCTTCAATTTCTTTCCTCAAGATGCTAATTGTAGATCTAATGCTCCCACGCAACTATTCTACTCCAGATTGATGACCATTGTCGATGAAAATCGTTGTACACAGACATTTAATCACTTCGAAGTGTAATTTAAGGATAAAGACAGAATGCCGTTTTACATTGGTTTTTATAGCTCGGCTTTTTCGCAACGTACCCACCTTTGCGTCGATTTTTATACGATTTTATTACTGTGAGGGTTAGACCCTCAATAATTGTTTTATTGAATTTTTTTTTGAAATATATTTTATACTTCCCTGGTTAATTAATTTATATTGTAGGTACTTTAGTACTTCTACCTACCTTTACTTGTTTCAATTGAATTAAAATACTTGACATTTGTATTTGTATTCTCCTATCTAAGTATATCAGGAGAAGGTTTTTATGACAGAAAAAAGTCCTGTAAATCCTACGACAACGGGAGAAAACGGGTTTGCGCGTACGAAGTCGCGGGCAGAAGCTAGTGTGTATATATACCTAAATGAATCCCTTTTTCCCTTGGTCTCGGCATCACGCGTGTATGGCTGGACCGATTTCACTAATTCGTTTTTATATTGTAACTATTTGTTATTATTAGGAGAAGGTCTTATGTAAGATAAAAAGTCGTAAAACTCCTACGGGATCGGGCAGTCGCAGGCAGAAACTCGTAGCTAGTAATCACACGCAATGAAGTCGGCTAAAAATTGTTCCGAATTAATCTGATCCGAGAGGACGCAAACACAATAAACCAGCATTTCCATTAATAAATAGTTTATCCATGAATTAGAACCGATACTTACAAATTAATTTATTACGAGTGGTTGCAACTTTTCCATCGATAAGGAATAGGTACTTATTCCGATAGAGGATTCCTAAGTACCTAATCGGAATCTGATTCCGGTTAAGTACCTAATCGAATTTCGAATCGGAATCTGATTCCGATTAAGTACATAATCGGAATTCTAATCGGAATCTTATTCGGAATAGGAATCCTCTATCGGATCGAATCGGATCCTTATCAATTCCGTAATTAACAATCTAATCTAACAGAGAAATTTTATAGAGTATTCTGGTTACTTAATCCGAATCCTCTCCATCTATTCCATAATTAAGAAACGAGTAGAAACTGATAATACTTAGGTTTTTCTATCTAGGTAATAAACTGCAAATAAAATATATTATAGCCACCGTAGGGATTGAAATCTTGATCTCGCATGATCGAGACCTCGCTTAAGCCTCAATCTCGCAAGATTTACATTCCCTAGTGGCCAGCATTCGTTTCTCCGTCTCGTATCTGACAAACTGTATTCGACTTTCAACGTGAAGGTCTACAGTAGAATATTGTATTTATATTGTTGGTATACCAATGAAAAAATGGGCACGTGGGATGGCACGTGCCCATATTTTTTTTTGCGAACCCAGGCGACGTCAACAATTCATGGAGGCGCACGAACCCTACTTCGAGTGCGTTTTTATATAAGATTGATTTAGTTCCTTTTTATATTATTTTTACCGACTTCAAAAAAATAAGGAGGTACTATGTTCGGCTGATTGTTTTTTTTTGTTTATTCGCGTATTACTCTACCATTTGCGAACCATTTGTGATGGAGCCGACAGACAGTCGAGGGAATTCCTCAGCGGTTTATATTAACTACCTTGTGTTTGAACTTGATTAATTTGTATTGATGAGGACTTTACACCTAGATAGAGTGGGACTGTCATTACGGGTCTGATGAAGAAGTGTAATTGTTAAGGGATCTACTCAACTGTATACAGTAACTACCTTGTGTTTGGGCTTCATTAATTTGTATTGATGAGGAATTTTCACCTAGATAGAATGGGGCTTCCATTAAGGGTCTGATGATGAAGAAGTGTAATTGTTAAGGGATCTCCTCAACGGTATACAATAACTACCTTGTGTTTGGGCTTGTATAATTTGTATTGATTAGAACTATCGTAGGTTATGAGTGACAAAACGGATCCATAGATCCGTATGGTGCTATGGCACCATACGGATCTATCTATCATCGAAGCTCATCATATGATAATGATCATATATATCATCGAAGCTCATCATATCATAATGATAAAACTTAATAGCGAGAAAAGTGTAAATTAGGTATCTTTATAGGTTTTAATGAATAATTTTGTAGAGAACTTATGGCGCCGATTTCTAACCTATCGGTGGGTGGGTAACCTATCAATACTAATAATAGTTAATTTTTTAGTTTAGGCTTTTTTTTGTTACTAGTTTTTGGTTTTTTGAAGTCGGTATTTTAAACGCAGTTTTTTTCATCTAATACTAGCTTCTGCCAGCGGGTTTGCCCGCGGGCCCTGAGCATTAATAGTCACCTGAATATGTTATCTTTGCTTTTCGGATACAACAAAGAGAATTTTTATGTAGTAACTACCTAGGTATACTTCTTCGTTAAAAACAATGTAAGAGCTGGGTCAACTCGTAAAATTTTTCCAACATGCATGATATGTATGAACTGCTTAGTACCAGTTAACATTAGTGTGTTAACAACAAATGGACGCCACGCCGCGTCAAGTAAATCTCGTGCATGGCGTCGGCGGCGTCCATTTTGTTTGTGGTACAAACCGCGCGACGCACGATGCATTGTGCGTCGCTCGTCATCGTCGGTCCAACATCCAACTACTATTCGGTCGCCCCGCCCAATTCCAACTGCATTATGCAGCTGGCTATTCAAATAAAACGTCTATGAAGCCACATTGACGTTTCAATGTCGTGGTTATCGACGTGTTCAAAATAAGTAGGAACAGAAATAACTGTAATTTGAACAGTTAGTAGTTTTGCCAGTTATTTACACTTAGCTCTAAAACAAGCACATACCTTATCCTAATTTTACGCACGTAATAACGCTGATCTGTTTATTGTTTGATTGAACGCGCTAATCTCCGGAACTAATAGACACAATTTAATGATCATTTTTATGTAGGATAGGAATCCATAGGAGCCGAGCAGTGCGGGTGGAGCCACGTGGGAATAGCTAGTACCTAACACATCATTATTTATAATGCCTTTGACAGGCCTCGAATGGTGTACAAAGTATTAAATGGTAGGGAACAACTAACACAGAGTTGCACAAAGATGTAGAGGATAATTATCAAGAGGCATGCCGCGAATCAAAACGGCGGCACTACTAAGATGTTCAAACATGATGGCAGCCAGTAGGGAAGCGGGGACGGCTAACTGCTAATGGCTAGCCGCTTTTCCAGATTTAGGTATTTAGATTTATTTAAGTTCGTAGGTATATAGTATCAGTTAGCCGCCTAATCGGTTCTGTTGAACATAAATTAATGGTTTGTCAATGGACGGCGTTACGCGTGCCTTTTAATGGCTGAACGCCATTTTGGCGAAACGCTGCCTCCACCAAGTTTATGCAAATTAGTAAGTTTAGTTAAATGTGAAGCAATCTAGTATCGTTTATATTTTATTGTGTCTTGCAGTTGCACACACAGGTAAATCTTGTGTTATTACAAAATGGATGTTACGCCGTGCGCCGCGCGCGCCGCCGCCGTCGACGGGTTATCTCGAGGATGGCGTCGGCGTCCATATTGTTTGCAGTTCCGACCGACTAACGCGAAGCATAGTGTACCTACCGCTTGACGTAGTTTCATTGTTAAATAACAATTCCGACTACATTTGGCTGGTATGTGAACAACCAGTGTTCTAACAGACCACGTTGAAGGCAACTATTCAATGTACCTACCGAAATAAACTATCTATAACTACTAATAACTAGCCACCCGCCCCGGCTTCGGGGTGCAACATGCAGGTATTATACATATAAATCTTCCTTAAGAATCACTATATTAAAATAAAAGAAACCGCATCAAAATTCGTTGCAAAGTTTTATAGATCTAAGCATACATAGGGACAACCAGACGGCGGATAGCGATTTTGTTTTATACTATGTAGTGAAACGCGCCTCTAATATTACGTACACAAACATTATTTTATCAACAAAATTAATTTTGATATTTCTTACCTTCTTCCTCGAAAATTTCTCCTCGCAGCTCCAATAGCGCCCTGGCAATGTACATCTCGTACTCAGTGAAGTTATTGTTGATTTCCATGGTTACGATTAGTAGTGTAGAGGTAGTTCTGTTCGCAGCAGTGAAGACACGGAGAGTAATGCCAAATACTCGAGGTACTGCTATTTAAACTACCCCTACGTAGTTAGAATCGAGCAAAAAAAGGCCGGCTAAGCTTCCCTCTCCCACGCAAAGAATGGCTCGGGTTGGGACATGTACCTGCGAAAAGCATATTGTCTCTTTCTGCAGAAATTATCAGTTGTTGTTTCCTTAAAATATTGTTCCTGTGTGGTAGACAATAGACTGGGTTGAAACTACGAAAGCAGATCCTATCTGTGTCATACCCAGTTTATTAAAAACCTACTTGACGTAACGATATAGGTATCTATTTAAAAAAAAATCATTATGATAAAAATGTAAACAAAAGCGTGTCATTGTGATTGCCTGAAAAATACTTACATAATAAATGAGCAGTTTATTTAAGCTATAGGTATATATACCTATATATATATATGTATGAATGACCTGTTTATTTAAGCTAATATCCAATTAAACTGTCAAACACCAAGCGGTCACCGGTGACCGCAACCTATTGTTCTATAATTGTGTCTACAAAACCGGTACTCGACGAGTTAATTATCTATCAAAAAAAGGGATTGATTAGCAAGATGGTATAAAGTGTACATTCTTAATTTTTTTAAGTTATTGTTTTTCATTCCTACATAAAGCAAGCAAGGTCTATTCTATATTAACATCGTCACATTTATCAAACTACCACCCACCATCCAAAAAAATATCGATTTATTTTCGAATCCGAAATCGAGTTGGTCCAATTCCAATTACAGAATTACGATAGTAGATCGGGAATCGAAAAATAAAACAATAATTAATTCATGATTAAAATTATTTTAATCATCTTTTACTTTATGACAGTTGTGTTTTATAGTTTGTATTTTCAATCTTCCAACTTCATCAGTTTTCATCCTTCAACAGAATCAATTATCATAACACAGTTTTCGTCAAGACAAATCAATCGAGACGAGGTTTGATGGAATTCCGTCCTTTTATACTGGGTGCCTAAGAGCACCTTATAGAGGTAGTTTCATCATCACATCAGTCGCCTGTAACCATCAATAAGAAAGTAGATA